TTACATATGTTGTCCTTGTCCCCCGCTCCCCCCCCAAGTCCGAGTTTCAAGTGCGTCCGTCCCTCGGATGGTGCATATCGCATTCTTTGTTTATGCATATACCCGTCCCCTCCTCCTCCTCCCCCCTCCCCGCTGCCTGACATCCAATAGATGTTATTCTTATATGTGCACTTATGTGTTGATCAGTTAATACCAATTTGATGGTGAGTACATGTGGTGCTTGTTTTTCATTCTTGGGATACTTCACTTAGGAGAATGTGTTCCAGCTCTATCCAGGAGAATATAAGAGGTGTTATATCACCATTGTTTCTTAAAGCTGAATAGTACTCTATGGTATACATATGTTCATTTCATTAAGACCTTGATAGACTGAATTAATATCTGGAAAAATATAAAATAAGAAGAAATAGAAAACAGGAATAGACCAATAATAGTGAAGTAAATTGAAATAGAATCTACTACTCTTTCTTGCCCTTTTCCCAAATTTCAGACCCAGTATACTTACAAGAGGGCCCACCAAATCCTCAAGAAACAAATAATTTCCATCTTCATAAGATATTTCAGAAATTATAAAAGCAGAGAAGGCTGCACAATTTCTTGTATAAAGCTACTGTATCTTGATTTCAAAATGAGATAATGACAGTATAAGTAATGAAATTTGAAGTTCCATTTCACTAATAAACATAGATGCAAAAATCCTAGATAAAATATGAGCTAACCATATCTAATAGTGTACTAAAATTGAATATATCACCAAGTGAAATTTATCCTAGAGTGCAAGAAAAAATTCACGTCTGAAAAATCTATCAGTGAATTCACCACATTAATAGACTAAAAGGAGTACATCACATAATTTTCTCAATAAATGCAGAAAAGGCATTTATTAAATTTAACACTTCATGGTAAAAACAAACTGTCTCAGCACACTAGAAACAGAAGGAAGGGATCATATATATTTGATGGTAGTTATAACATCAAAAACCTAAATCAAGCATAATAGTAATGGAGAGATTTTGGCTGCCTTCATAACAAGATTGGGATCCAGCATTATGCCTACTATTATTACTGCTACTGTTTATAAAATGCCCTCAGATTAACCAATAAATTCAAAGCTAAACCAATCAAAATTGCAGCTAAAATATGGAAGAATAAATGTGCATTGAGAGGTGAATAAACTTGGGGAAAAATCAAAGCCAAAAGGGGGACTTGCCAACCAAATAATAAGATATACTACCAAGCCATACCATAGTGATAAATGTGGGATGATTATGACACAAGAAGAGACACAGTGGAAAAACCGATGGAATAAAACTGAACATCAGAAACAGATGCAGGTACAGATGGGAGCTTGAGAAATTATGCGTGTGATACCAAAAGTCAAAGAGGCATCTCCTGTTATGCATCTCTGAGAAGAGACCCTTTCATCTTATCTCTTGGAAAACTCCGACATGAACAATGTCAATGAGGAAAAGTCTTTGTACTTGGTGTTGACTCACAATGTGGAGGGACAGAAAAAACAACTGGATTTTTACAGAGTCCACACACAAAAGAGATGCAGGTAGATTAAAAGTCTAGTTGGGAAAGATAAAACTATAATGATGATAGAAGCAAGAAGAGGAGACTCTCTTTGTAACTTAGGGATAAAAAAAGGAATTCTTAAACAATACTCCAATAGCACAAACCGTAATTTTTTTTTTAAAAAAGATAGGCTTTTCTTATATCAGAACTACTTGTTTTTGTTGTTTGCTCAATGAAGGACACCAGTTGGTAGTAAACTGATAGTGATATATTGGGAGATGATATCTTCAGTGAATGAGAAAGGCACAAGGCTAATAGACATTTTTGGCCCTGTGTCTATAATAGACCATATAAATTATTGCTGTAAATCAACAAGACAGGCATCCTAGTAAGAAAACTGGCAAAGGATATGATGATGAACTATTCACAGCATGGGAAATCTAAGATAGGTAAGTGTATAAAGAGATGCTCAAACTCATCAGTTGTAAGAAAAATTCAAATTAAAAACAGTAACAAGACACCAGTTCATGCTGTTCAGATTGGAAAAAATTCTGATCTTCGGAGAATGCCAAGTATTAGGGATATCCAGCAACAGAAACTCTTTTGCCTGCTGGTGGGCATGTGAACTGGTATGAGCCACTCTTTAGAGCAATCTGGCAGTACTTTGTGAAATTAAGAATGAGTGGTCCCTATGATTCAGAATCCAGTCTTCTATCCCAGAAAATTCTCCCCTGGGTCTGTAAGGGGACAAAGATAAAGGTGTTTATCGTAGCGTTGTTTGGGGTGGGGAGAGTTTAAGACAACCTAGGTGTTCATCACTGGGGAATAGAGAAGTCAAATGTGGTGGATACACATGGGAATATTCTGCACCATTTAGAAAAACAAAGAACTAGGTATATGTTCAGCAATATGGCTAGATCCTAAGAACACAGTTAATAGAAAAATGTTAGAAACTATATGATCTATGCTATACCTACATATTATACTAAATCTATAGTGCAACATCACATATCCATGAAAAATACATATATGCACAAGCATTTTTATGTATTTTATAAGTTCAAGGCTAAATATCAAACATATTCAAGAATTTGGCTCTGGGGAAAGGCAAATTAGGAGTGGCAAATTAAGAAAAAAGAGAATAAATACATGGAACAAGAGAGGGGTCATGTACATTTTGATTCTGTGCTGTGAACTCATAGATTATGATTAACTCAACCTTCTGCACATGAGGTTCAACAAAAAGGGATTGGTAAACTTCCAGCAGTTGGGAAATCTTCAACTTCCAAATCAGTGAAGGTCAGCGCTAAGTTTTCCGAGTAAACAACTGCTTATCTTGTGACATGGTGTCCACCTTTACATGGCCATAAACAATAACTAAGTGACGTACAAACTGACTTTGTGGATACATCTTTTAGACTTGCGCTTTCTCCTCAATTTCCTTGCACCCAGAACAACTCTCATTTCAGCAACGTATTGTATTCCATCCAAATCGAACAAGAAGATAGCTTAATATTCATCTACACAATTTATGGCACAAGCAATCTCATATTAAATGAATTTTTATCTTAGTGCATAAGAAATTGTCCATTTTTGCCAGAATATTTTTTTAAAAGAAGTTATTAGTTTTTATTTTTCTCTGAGGTAGCAAACAATTAACTGTGCTCTCCTCCCAGCCCAGACCTGGGGCATTTTTATGTGAGATAAGATTAAGAAGTCCATTTTCAGCTGATGTGGGATGAAAAGAGAAGAGCTATCATTTTGTTGTCTTCAAAAATCATACTGTCCTCATTCAAACAGGGAAGAAAAAGTATTTGAGAGCCAGGGCCCTGGTGGAGGGTGAAACATAGTTTGATTTGGGCTATTTATTTAAACTTCCTGGGCCTCAGTTTGCCTATTAAGAGGAGATGCATAGTGCATAGGATTGTTGAAAAGAAGAAATGAAACCAGGCAGCTGGAGAGCTTGGCACAGTTTGTCTAACACACAGTGTGCATGCAAATAAGCAGTTTTAATTTATTTTACTTACTGTTTGCTTTTATTTATTGTGTGCCTGTAATATTTCAGGTGCTGTCACATTCATTGCTCTTTTTAGTACACTAGCAGCATCAAGGTATGAAATAATGTTTGTAGGGCAATCCAGGGGCTGAGGATAACATTGCATTTTACGTCTACTAGAAAAATCCTGGAGTCAGATAAAGGGTTTCTCCTGAGGATGGAGGTCAAGGCCTTGGCCGTCTGTGTTCAGTAACATCGAGCTTCCAACTTACCATAGGAAATATTACTCAGGTACCCCAGATCTCCTTTTGGACAGAAATTATATTTACTAGGTCTGTATTCTTAGCAGACAGTAGAAAGCCTGGCACATTATAGAGGCTCAAGGAACTCTATACAACAACCCTAAAAATCCCCATTTTAAATTAAAAAAAAAAAAACCGAAACATAGACTTGACCAAACCTACACAGCTAATCCATCGGTGGTAGAACAAGGAGTTAATAGACTTACTTTGGATCCCAAACCTGACGTTTTTATTTTTTCCCTTTTTTTTTTGGCAGATGCTTGGTCATTTGGTCAAAAAACAGTGGGAGGAGAGGGGGTGGATTTCCAGCAACCTCTGTTATTGGCTTGTTTTCTCACAGACCACTAACCTCTACCGGGAAGATATTAAGCAGGTGCTCAAGACCTTGAAGCCCCTGGTTGTTTGCATTCTTTCTGAATCCCTAACTTCCCAGTGCTCTTTTACATTTTGTTTTACTTGCTGGCCTCTCATGCTTCACCTCTGTTTCCTCAATTGAAAAAACAAATGTGGTTGATGATATCTTCCCGCCTACTTGAAGAAGGACACTCCCGAACACCCACCAGCTCACTCCCAGCCCACCCCCCTATTTTATTTTCTTCGGAAGACTTAGTCCTGTCTAAATTTGTTTATTTTCTGCCTGTCCATTTGAATAGCACATCACAGTGGGGACAGAGTCCTCTATTTCATTCACTGCTGTATCTTCAATGCTTCGAACCTGGCCCACAGTATAGTTCCTCTGTAATTATTTGTAGTCAAATTTATGCAGACATACTTTTAAACAATATTTCCCACTTTCCTGAGTGTTTAACTATGTGGCAAGAACTGTCCTAAATTTTAATGCATTTCTTCATTCCTGTTCCTATTCATTCTTAAAGCATTCCAGCAAGGTGGCTCCACCATGCTCTTTTCTGAGCTCTCAGCGGTTATGTAAATACCTGGAGAACATGAGGCTGGATTTAAGCCCCCATCACTCTTACCTTTGCTCTTTAGCTACTGTGCTCGGGGTTCACAACGTCATCTGCCTGTAGTTTTTCTAAAGCCAAAGCACAGCAAGGCAGTTTGCTTAGTGGTTAATATAATAGAAGGGACCAAAAAAAAAAAAAAAAAAGACTGAATTAGCATCCTGACTCTGTCTCAATGCAGGGGGAGGGGCGGTGCACAGATTATTTTTGGATGCACGGATGATAATTGTTATCATCAGCCAGTCTCAGGTTTTCTCCAATCGCAGGGAACCCGCTTCCCAGGCTTCTGAGAGTCCAGAAGTGTCAAACCTGTCTAAAGGACAGGGCATGTGGGGCCCTGAGCTCCCTGGCGTCTTCCCATCCTCGGGGCTGGCAGCCAAGTCAGGCCTCTCGCCTCCGCCCCACCCTCCCCCGGCCCCTCCTCTCCTGGCCTCCCATCCAAGGCAGATGACTGGGAGCAGGAGGTGGGCTGCCCTCGCCCACTGCGTCAGAACGACGCCCACGAGGAGGTTACTGTGGGGCGCACACAGCAGGAGACACCCCTTGGAACCTCTCCTCTCCTCCCTAATGCCAGGTTAAAACCCTCAACCCCACGTGCTGTTTGCAAATCTACCAGCCACTGAGGGACTGACTCCCTCGAGTAGAGACCTCACTGAGAGCTAGAGACCTCACTCGCCTAGCCAGCATGTCAGCTGTGGTCCTGGAGAACGGAGGCTTGGGCAGGAAACTCTCCGACTTTGGACAGGTGAGCCGGGGCGGCCTCAGATGCTCAGGTAGGGGAGTTTGGCTCCCCGCGGGGGAAAGAGGTCTGAGAAATGTTGGTGTAACTTAGTTTGGTAAGCTCACCAAGACGTCCAAATTCATTTGAAGATGATGAGAATGTCTGGCAAGTCAATAGGTAAGACATGTCCTCAACAATTGTTTCCAGGTGGGATAACATCAGTCCTGTGTGGCTTTCAGAGGAAAGAGCACTGCTTTAGGGAGTGGGGATCTGGCTTTCAGAGCTGCCACCGACTAGCTGTGTGTCTTTGGGAGAGTCACTGTCCCTTTCTGTTGCCTTTCTCTTCTGTGCACTGAAGAAGCTGGTCCTTAATGATCTAGGGTAGGAGACTGGGGTCCTTCTAGATCTCTTCTGTGATGCTTATAAAGGGTTCTCAACCAGGTATTGAAAAGGCAAAATTGTGAGAAACATCTTCTCACTTTGGGGAAAAGGCGAAGCATGAAGAGGAGTCGGATAGAAACTTACTCAGACCTGGGAAGGCAGAACTAAGAAGAGAGGAAAAGGAGCAAGAGTTAGCCCCCTGGATGTGGACTGTAAAAGAACCATAAGTTGGCTTGGGGATAATGCCCAGGGTATACTCCATTCCCCAGGATTTGCTGGCATTCTCTTGAGGTGAATAACTGCAGAATACGTTCTTTAATTTGGCTTATATAGTCACAGGAAATCATACTCCTACACCCTGAGATTCAGATGAGGGAGGTTATCTGAGACTGCAGTCCCTGTCACCTGTAGGATTAGGGAGAACAATCCTCTGTATAGAACAGAGAGATTGGAGAGAAGAGGAGGGCAGGTGTTAAAGTTGATATAACTAGAGAGACTGCAGCACTTTGGACTGACTTTCTTTGGATCCTAGAAGAAAGATTTCCTGTGTAAATGGTGTGTGGTGCTGGGGAAACAGAAGAACTGAATGTTGAAGAGGAACAACGTGGGAGTCAGGCAGATTCCAGAACAGATCCCAGCTCCATCCTGCAGTTAGTTTCTGTGCTTCCGGCAGTAGGGCCCCCACGTCCATGGGAGGGGGTTAGGTGCAGTGATCTTGTTAGGGAAGCCTGGGGACTTGAAGCTTTATTTATAGAGCACTTAGGAGGTTAAGGATACACAAATTGTTACTACCAATGCCTGGGGCACTAGTAAAGAGGAGGGTTTCGAGCATGCCCCGGCACCACCTCTGCGCTGAAAGCAGGGCATTTAACTTTGCAGAGCTTCAGGTTTATTCATTTGAAAAACAGGAATAAAAATATTCATGTCCTAGGGGTGGTATGAGAATTAAATGAAATAGTGCTTATAAAGCTCTTAGTACAATTCCTGGACCATAAGAAAGTGTCAATGTGTTGGTCTAGACAGAACTGATTTGTTTGTTTAAAAAACTGCATCTTGAACACTGGCAGGAAGGATGATCAACATGTCAGGCACTGAAGCGGGTAGATCCTATTCATGGAAAAATCTGCTGAATGTGGAGTCTGGAGGCCTGGCTTCTCATCTTTGGTATAATGTAATAGGGAAGTCACTTAATTGGGGTGAGGAGGCTGGGTTTGGCATCTGTAAAGTTGGGGTGAAAGATGTTGGACTGGATTCATTTTTAGTACTAATCCTAATCCTTCCAGCTCTGACATTCCGCAAAAGAGACACACTTTATGCCTTCTTAAAGTTCACAAACTAGATAAATATACACTGGATGGCATTTGGGCGTAGTGCAGACTGTGGGAAGGCACCAGCATTGGATAAGGGCACGTGATACATCAAGTGCTTCACACATGCAAAAAAACAGGCAAATTCTATAAGGGAGGTTTGGTGCATTCATTCAGCCAACAAAGACTTATTGAGCACCTACTGTGTGCCAGGCACAGCAGTGTTTCTGTACTGGTGAAACACATAGTCTAGTGCTGGAGACAGACAATAAAAAATTAACAAAATGAACATATAATATAATTTCCTATAGATAAACGCTGAGAAGAAAAATAGAGCAGGGTTATGGGATAGAAGAAGAGAGGAACTCAGAAATCATAGCTAAGAACAGTGAAGCCAGTGTTTGGACCTAGATCTGACCCCAACTCTGTATCTAATATGTATCATATTAGAATATGATACTTCCTCCTGTAGATAAATGCTGAATATAGAGAGATGCTGTGTCCATGGCAGGAGATCTGCATCTTGTTTTCAGTAGTCTTACACTGTAGATGTGTATGTGTGTGTGTGTGTGTGTGTACTCACACATGCAAATACACACCTCCTACCATGACTCCAAAAAGCACTAAGATTGAGAGTTAATACCCCTGGAATATCTTTATCAAAATGTATTGTTTGTATATATTTACGTTGCTCTTTTCCAAAGATAACAAAATACATTTTTTATATACAACCAAAGAGAATATATTTCTATTGTTGAACATATTGCTCTATGATCAAAATTCTTTCCTTCCTGGTTCCTAGAAAAGATCCTTCTTCCTGCCCTATTTCTACCTATATAGTTTCTGAACTACTTTTCTTTCTCTTTTACCTATCCTGTGTATACATGTGCTTGTAAATCAACTCACATGTCCTGGTTGAGTCTGTCCTTAGGAGGCAGAATGGACTTTGGAGTTGTTGCATCTGCGTTCAAGTCCAGACTCTGTCACTCATTAGCTAGGTGTTCTTGGACAAGCCACTTCGTTTTGCTGAGTCTACGTCTTCATTTGCAAAATAACAGCACCTACCTCATGGGGCTATTATGAAAACTAAATGGGTTACATGCAAACCCTTAGAATAGTGCTAGTTGCTGCCAATGATGATGTTTAATTAACTGCGAAAAGTACCAAATATGGCTCCTGGCACACAGTGCGTACTCAGTCAATGTCAGACCCTAGCATTTATACTAATAACAGCAAAGAGTGGTGCCTTATCATATAGTAAATATTATTTTGCAGATACATTTGGAAAAACTTATAATAAAAAAGTGGCTGTGTATTTATTAATGGCCTCAGAATTTTCTGTGGTCAAGAATCATCTGGGATGGCTTTGATGTTGAAGATTCTAAGACCCTACTGCAACTATTCTAATTTGATAGGTTTGGGTGAGGCCCAGGGGCCTGCATTATAAGGAAGACTCACCGGGTAATTCTGGAATGGAGATTGAAGGAACTCACTGAGAAGCATTGACTTAGAAAGGGTGTGGGGAGGATGCAGCAAGTGAAAGGAGCTGGGCGTGGCTGAAATGCAACCTCTTAGGAGTGGTATTGAGTAACTGGTGACTGGACCAAAGTAAATGTTTTATTTCACAAGAAACAGAGGCCTAAATTCCCACATTATGTCCACAGCAAGTGGAATCATGTAGAACAACTGACAGTTGGGAGCCTGAGTGCTTGACACACCTCCACTACCTGTGTGAACTCAGGTGAGGCATTTTTGCTCTTTGGCCCTAAGTTTCCCCATCTGTGAGACAAGGGAGTTGAACTAGGGGAGCTCTAAGGACGAATCTCGGTCTGTGAATCGGTTGCTATCCAGTCCCACGTGGGTATCAGAAGCTGAATGGAACGCATGGACAGAAGAGGACTGTGCACAAGGCAGAGGGGCACCCAGGTTTTCTGAGAGAAGTGAGTCCCAAGAAAGCCTTTGAGGAAGGCTGAGATACTGGAAAGGGGAATTCAGTGATTTACTCTAATGAGGAGTTGAAAAGGCAAGGAGGAAACCAGTTTGGCTGGAGGGGAGGTTCCTGTGGCTGGGCCACTGGAGGTGAGGTACCTGGGAGACTGGTTGAACATCGGCGAGAGGCATTTTAACTTGATGGCCATGGGGAGGGAGGCTTGAAAGGATTCTGAGTAGCAGGAGGACATGAACAAAATTCCATTAGGGCTGAATCAATGCAGATCACTAAGCGCAGGATTCAGGTGATGGCAGACCCGATACCTAGATGACTAACAGTCATCTCTGGAGAGGGTCAGATTGGACTTGGTGATTGGCTGGACACACAGAGGAGTGGGGTGAGGGAGGGGTGACTGAGTTTCAAGCATGGGTGCATTCAAGTCTGAATTGCCCTAGTCAAAGGTGGCATCTGTGTAAGGAATATATTACTTTTCTTGGAGGCCAACAGGAGAAAAGGATCTTGCCAAGTAAACCATAATAAAAACAAGGAAATCCTTTGTCATTTCAAGGAAACCAGAAAGGATGAAGAGCTCAGTGTTCTCTAGTAGAAAGAAAGAGACTGAAGTCAGAAACTCATCTGCACCTCTTTGTCAGGGTTTAAAAGAGGGAGGCAGGAGATTCTGCAAGAGGTTGTAATTCATAGACACATGCAGGGCTCAGATGGCCTGGGTTCAGATCCTAGCTGCGCTGCTAATTACATGGTTATGGGAAAGTTATTTAACCTCTCTAAACCTTGATTTTGTCATCAATAAAAGGGGGCGCTTGGTGCATAATAAAACCTACCTCTAGATTGTTACAAAAATGAAATAAGATAATCCAAATCAACTGCTTATTATAATACCTGGGACATTATCGGCTCTTAATAAATGGTACATTAAAAAAATTTTTTAGAAAGATAACATCATGATCCAAATAGGGATATTTTATAGTTCAGTCTTCCAATTATCTGAAGCTCCCCATAATCGGACTTGCTGATAAATTTGTTTTTTTCAACACACCGCTATATTCATGTGAAGTTCTGGGAAAAATCTGAATTTTCTGAATTGAAAGGATTTTGTCCTATGGTCATCAGTATTCATGCAGAACTTATTATTCTGAATCACTGATAAAAATCTGCCCAACACAGCCTTCTCTCATTGAGATGATGCAATGTCCATCCCATTTCATTAATACACTTACAAGAGGGTAATTGTTCTGCACATTTTTTTTCTTTCCAGTTTTAGGTACATGCTGTTGCTGTTGGACCACACACATAGAATTTTATATATTACTTTAAAACTTAGGCAAATGTTTCGGCAAACTCTGGAAGGTCAATCTTAATGCCATCTCGGTTTGCTGTCACATGTATGTAGTAAGTGTGAACATTCTGGACATTCTTTGCTATTTAGTTTAAGACATCCATCTTCTGATAGGCTATTTGTATGCTTTACGTGTTTTGTGACTTTTTTTCAACAATTGGATATTGCAGATTCCAGCATATAAGAATAAGTTAATGCCTTCTGAGTCCTTCGCCAAAGGCCAAGAGGTCCTTCTTGTGTACCTATAGTATCTCCATCACTTTTATATACTTTTCTTAATATTCTATTTAATAGCTTATTAAATATTTAAACTTATCTTTTTCTTTCTTTCATCATCTGAATACTATATTTTGACAGGGCTTATTATTATAATGGTTTTACAGATGAGGAAACTAAGACAGCTTAGTGATTTGCCCAAAATGCTCCAGCTGGGAAATGAAAGAGAGAGAATTCCAACCCAGTTCTTTGGACTTCCAAAGCCTTAGCATGTTGTATTTGTAGTCCTTTCCACACTGTATTTCTCAATGTTTTCCTGGGACATTTTAAGTACCATATCATATCACCTCTAAGGACCTTTTGATTTGTTGTGTAGGTGTCTATTAAGTCAGACTGTGAGCTCCTAAATGATAGGATATTGTCTTATTCATCTTCGTATTTCTCAGAGCCTGAATAGTGCCTAGCACTTGGTGTACATTTAAAGGTATTAAATTTATAGGGTTGACTGGTGACATCAATGAATAATTAAAGCTTCCTTGGGTGGAAAACTGACCCAGTAGCATCACTGATCACTTCTTTGCCCTTGACTTGCTGATTTTCCACCACACCATATACTTCTGTTTCGAGTATATGTGGTTCATTGTATTTCCAAGGCTTAACTAGAAGAAAGAGTTCATGCTTGCCTCATCCTTGGAGGTTTAATGGGCATGAATTGCTAAACTGTGGAAAATATTTTAACCAAATGCATCTTATCCCATAGGAAACAAGCTATATTGAAGACAACTCCAATCAAAATGGTGCTGTATCACTGATCTTCTCACTCAAAGAAGAAGTTGGTGCACTGGCTAAAGTCTTGCGCTTATTTGAGGTAAATCCTTTATTTGTGTTTGTCTTGGACAATGGCATAGCAAATGTGCATGTTATTTTCTAATTATATGCAATGAAAAGAACACAGGATCTGAAACTGAAAGACTTGATTTTCAGATCAGGCTCTTATATTAACCAACTGTGTGACCTTAGTTAAGTCATTCAATCTCTCTGAGCTTCAGTTTCTCCGTTCATAATATGGTGCTGATAATACATGCTTATCCCTATCAATAGGGGTTTTGTGACAAAATCATGTGTTTTGTAAAATGCCTAAATACATGTTGCATATTGTCATAAAGATGAGACAAAATGGAAATGAAAGAACCATTAATTCTTTCATTCACTTTTTTAGTATTGTCTTCTATGCCTAGGCATAAGATAACAAATATAAAACACCTTTTCTTCGAGCAGCTTAACCTCAGACTATGTTCTAGAAAATAGCTAATGTTCTTCAAGACATTCATACATGTCTTATGATTAAAGGGGTTCCATGGTAAATACATTTAGGAAACTTGGGGCCATATCATTTTATCAAATTTCTTTATGTGAGACTTTTAGAGGCTATAAAACTCTAATGTATACTAGGTCATTCCAAAAAAGGAAATTATGTACCACTTTCCAAGCTTATTTGACTGTGGACCCTTTTAATTTTAAGAACATTTTCTTACCTTGAAACAGAGTTTAGGAAATGCTTTTTGGCTTTAGCTAGGCATCCAAACTTCAAATAACTCCAAATAGGTTTCCTCATCCAGATTCCTCCCAAGTACTTTTCTAATGTTTTAGCTGGGATTTTTCCTACCTGAGGATACACTGCTTTTTACTCATTTTTCTGTGATCACTCTAGCTGATTGGAGGCCACTCTAGCTGATTGGAGTAGCATGGCGGTCAGGGCTGTGCACTTAGCACTCAATGTGTTTGGTCACGAATTCAACAAATCCTTTTTGGATATGGCTGGATATAATGAGATACCTTGTAAAAACATACGATGTTCTCAGGACTATGGGAGGGGGGCAAAGATGGGGAATACATAGAGTTGGAAGGAAGAGAAACTTCCTCCTTTAGGATCTAGCAAGGGAAGCAAACACTTTGAGTAGCTGGGGAGCAGGGGTGGGAGGTGGGGGGGGATGTGAGATGGTTTCTCAGTGACCACACATTGCAGACACAATCTCACCAAATCTTATGAAAATAGCATGAGGTAGGGACTATTTCTATTCCTATTTTTCAGAGAAAGAAATAGAGGCTTAGACAAGTTAAATAAACTTGCCCAAGGTCACATAGCTAGTAAATACTGGAGATATTATCTGAACTCAGGCATTCTGACCCCAGACACTACACTCCTAACTGCTGTTTGGTACTGCCCCAGACAGGACTGGCTTCACAGTTTGCAGGGTCCAGTGCAAAATGAAAATGCAGGGTCTCTTCTTTAAATAACAGGAGACAAATGCTGTTAGAAGTACTGCAACATACAACTTTGTCTTTTCTTTTGCAGTCTCTCTCTTGTCCTGTAGTGATGTTTTTGGTTTGCTATTTTTGTTTTCCCCTCTGTTGGGCACTGTGGCCTGCTAGCTGCTGGGTTCCCCCTTCAGCCAGCACTGGACTAACAGCCATGCTTCCCATCAAGGGTGGGGAAATCCATCTCCCATTTCCACGGGCCTTCTGTGCCAACCCACAGTGACAAGTAAGCCCCCTCCCCAAGAGATTCCAACCTCTGTATGGAGGGTAGAAGAGAGGCTTTCTCACTGCCAAGTCACCCACCAAATCACCTACCAAATCCCCAGTAGGAGAGGGTGACAGCAGAATATGGGCTTCCCCTCCCCTCAAGTCACCTGGTCATAGCTCTGGGCAGAGGCCAGCAGGAGTGGTGAGGGGAGGCCAGGGAGGGGGAGGCTGGGTGGGACCAGAGTGCAGGAAGCTGGGAGAAAGGCCTCTAGAATCCTGCCGGGGGGCAGAGGACAGAAGGTGGGATTGCACGTGAGTTGAGGCTCCGAGCATCCAGCACATGCTTCGTTGTCCCATTGGACTTTGCTTACCAAACACAAATTCAAAAACACATTATTAAGAATTTCAAGAGGGTTACAAAAAGCATTAAACCTGAAGTGTGATCCTTGTGAGTCACACACTCAGGAAGTTGGCCTTCCTTGAATGAATTATTAATGCTATCTTCTCGGTGTTCCCAAAAATCTTTTTACTTTTAACTGCAGCACATATTTGCCTTGTTCAGTATATACATTTCTATCTGGCCCCGAGTATGGTTTCTTCAGGACGGGAACCTTGTCTCAGTCATCTTTATAATCCTCAACGGACTCAGAGTTTTATATATATTAAGTGTTCAATTAAGAATGAAATTGAAGTTAAAGGAGAATTGAAACTGAAGCAAAGGAGATTAGAATGTTTTTACTCTTCTGTCCTAGATTTTAAGAAGGAATATATTTTAGCCCATTCATTTTTACGCTGTGTTCTTTAATAAAATTAAATCGAGTGATTAAACCCATGAATAAATGGAGAAAAGACAGATCTCTCATGTTGAAGAAGTCCAAATAATTCAAGTGGATACTCCATCCTCAAAGAGGAAGAACATAACTCTTAAAGTGTGGGCTTTGCATAGTGACTTCCTTCCAAAGAGTATGGTACGAAAGGGGGAAAAGAGTAACTTTACACTGGAGAAATATGACAAACACACCCCAGCCGGGTGACCAAGGTCAGTGTCCTCGAAAAAGAAGCCAAATATAACAGTAAAACATACATTTTTTTAATAGTAAAGAAAGAAAAATCAATGTCATCAGTGATAAGTCATGTCGATAGTATGTACCCTTGATATGATGTAATGAAAATGACACTTTGCCTCTGTGGTCTTCCTCCCCCAAGCCCATAACCCTAGTCCAACTGGGAGAAAAAAAATCAGACGAATCCTAATCAAAGGACATGATACAAAATGCCTGATCAGTACTGCTTAAAACTCTCAAGGTCATCAAAAACAAGGAATGTCTTGTCGCAGCCAAGAGGAAGGCTGTGACATGAAGACTGAATGTAATGTGGTATCTTGAATGGGATCTTAGAACAGACAAAGGACATTAGATGCAAATTAAAGAAATTTGGATAAAGTATGGCCTTTAGTTTATAATAATGCATCAATATTGTTTCACCAATTGTAACTCACGTTCCACCCTCACGTAAGCTGTTCATAATGGGGGAAACTGGGTCTGGGGCTTGTGTGAACTCTGTACTGTCATTTCGATTATTCCATAAATCTAAAATTATTCTAGAATAAAGTCCATTAAAAATAAATCTATCTATCCAAAGAGGGGGAAGTGTGTGTCTGGGTGAGAGCAAGCAATGCGTGCAGAGAAGACAGAGCACTTTCTAAGTGACAAACTGTTCCTGAGAAAGAATATATCTGTAAAATGTGCTGTGGAACTTTTAGCCTTTGTATTAGACAACAATCAGTGTTTTCTTTCCTTGAGAGTTTGCCCCTTAGGACTAAGTCAGAGTTAATAGATTAAATAATAGTAGATGAACAGGATGTTTTCAACCTAATAAATAAACCATAAGTAACTAAATTATCAGAACTGGCTGGAATGCACTCAAGAACTCTGTGTGTGTGTGTGTGTGTGTGTGTGTGTGTGTGTGTACACAAGCACAAACTCTGGGTGAACTCTTTGAAGCATTATCCAAAATCTCAACTGCACAGATCAGTAAGTGATATTATTAAACCTGTTTTACAGAGGAGAAAACAGAAGTCACTGGGTGATTGATGAAGAGTTGTTAGTGTGTTTTGGGTTTTTTTCCCAAACATATTTCAGAAGATGTTCTAAAAATCATATAAGCCAGCATAACTTCTCACCTTATTAACAACCTGGCAAAATGTAGAGTCAAATTACCATCATTCAAAGGGAAAGAATCGAATTCTAGTATTTGTGGAACCGCATTATGTGATAAGCCAGGCACACATAATTCGTGATTTGGTCCTCATTGAACTCAGTGGAGAAGGCAGTATTCTCACTATATTGATGAGGACACTGAGGTTCTGAGAGGCTGAGTAACCTGCTCAAGATCACACAGCTAATGTACTGTGGAAACAGGCTTGGTCCCTGGCTCTCAGGGTTGCAAAGCCCAGGGTCTCTCTGTGACATTTCACACCTCTGCCAAATGCAGCACTCCCTGCACTTCTGAATCACTTCTGGAGGGTTTTTTTTTTTTTTTTTTTTTTAATGCGAATATCCTGGTCCCAGTGTCCTACTCTTGGGTGGGAGGAGGTGGGAGTGTCTGTCTCTGGGTATTCTTTCTTTCTTTCTTGCAAATTGAAAAATGCATCAAAGTGCAAGAAAATTAACTACTGATATTCCCACCATTCATTATCAACCACTGTTAACGTTTTGACATCTTTACTTTCTACCTTTTCATGTGTGATTAAGGTTTCAAAAGTTATAGATTAGCATACTGTTCTTTAAGAAAAAAAATCGTACATTAAAGATAAAGCTATAGTCCTTTCTAATCTCCTCTCAGTCCTGGTCATCCTAAAAAACGTCCTGGCCAAGGCAACATTATTTTGAGCTTAGTCTATTTCCTTCCAGTCCTTTGAAAAATAATGTTGATGTTGACAGGTGTCACACTGTGCACATTGCTCTGCAACCTCTGTGAGTCAGCACAGTGAAGTAGTCAGGAGGGCAGACTCGGAACAGACAGGGCTGTGGCTTGTAGAGAGTCGCTTGACTTCTCTGTGCCTTATCTATAAAATCGGAATAATAATAGTGTCTGCTTCCTAGGGTAGTTCTGAAGATTAAATGACTTAATGCATGTAAAATCCTTGGAATAGTTACTTATTAACTGATCAGTAAGAATTATTGTATGTTTTGTAAATGCAACATCTTTGAAATACATACATGTTGATGATACATATAGATCAAGTTTGTAACTTTTAACTCCTGAAATGTAGTTCTTTTTTTTTT